GGGTGACTGGCTTAAAACCAGTCCAGTTTAGGTGGTGCATAGCTCTGTGTTCTTTATGTGATGGCCTTTGCTTCTGGGTTTGGCAGCCTCTCGCTCTCGTCCGTAGCGATCTTTTGATATTTTACAGCAGGAATGTTTAGGGCTGAATAAGCATCTCCTGTTCCAGAGTGGCTTCTCCGTGCTGGGATTGAAGAAAAGTAGAGTGGGGAGAATCATTCCTGCTCTTTTGGTGAACGTAATGAGAACTCCTGAGCTGATCAGTCTGATTTCTCACAGCCCATGCTGTGACTGCAAGAGGTTCAGACCTTGGGGAGGAGACTTGTTACCAGAGCTTGGGGGTGGATGGACTGGGGAGAGGTGGATGAACTTGAAGACAAGCATTGAGGAGCCTCCTTTATAGTAAGCTGTATCTAAGTGTTGTTTCCTTCTGGCCTCTTGCAGGGAGAGTGGCCAAAATGGCATTTGTGAACTCTGCAGCGAAGCCCCCTCGGGATGTACGAAGGAGACAAGAGAAGTTTGGAACTGGAGGGCCTCTTCTGCCAGAGAAGACCAAGTGAGTGTTTCTCAGTAGCTCTTTCTGCTCAGGGCCTCCTGCCAGCTTCCCCCTGAAGCTCTGCATCCCAACAGGAAAGGATACTGAGTGTCTGGGAGCTCCTTTTGCAGTGAAACTTGTAACTCTGCTGGGCTGTTTCTTGCTGGGAAGTACAGAGGTGGTTCCACGTGGTATCAGCCGTGGTGCTGTTGGCAAACATGGCTCCTGTCTGTAGAACTGCATCAAACTGTGGTGAATCTTTACTGAAATGCCTGTCCCTGTGTGTTTCAGAATCAAACCTGTCCTGTACACATCCAGCAAAAGCCACGCTCGAGCCAGTGACGAGCAGTCCTACGATGGGCCCAGCACCAGCAGTGCCCACTCTGTCCCATCTTCAGGTAGCACCTTCTCCTCCTTCGACCCCAGGAAACCCCCAGTGAAGAGTAAGTACAACCTGCAGAACATCCCTGTGGCCTCTTTTTGCTCCTCCTTCACCAACAGCTGCTTGTGCTGCAGGAGAATTCCAGGCTATGCAGGAGGGTTTGATGTTGGCATCTCCTCTTCCTGAGGAGAGCCTGTTCAAACTTCTTTCACAAGGGAAAGCACAGGGAAACATCCAATTCGCTTTTTCTGCTCAGAGTTGACTGTATCAACCTGTCCTAATGGCACCAGTGCCCTCCTGCTGTCCTGTGTCTGTCCAGTTGTTGGGAACTATGAAAATGTGGTGGAGTTCTCTTGGGAGGGAAGCAGGGAGGGTTTAACCAGAGGTCTGTGTTCTTGCAGTTCAGAAAGCAGTGGGTTCTCCTCAGTCTGTGACCTGATAAATAGGATGGGCCACGATCAGAGAGCACACACTTGCCAGGGCTGCAGCTTTGAACTGCTCTCTGCTCTTACTCTGCCACTGCTCCTTTCATGTGTGGGAGTTTGTTGTTTGATTTGTTTGATTTGTCTTTTTCTTTTTTTCTTCCCCTTCTTTCTCCGTTGCAGAAATTGCACCAATGATGGCAAAGACTATCAAAGCTTTCAAAAACAGGTTCTCTCGGAGATAAGTTTGCAGTGCTGACCTGGGACTTTCTCTCACGGGGAGGAGTGGCACTGGAGGGGGGAGAAGGTTCCCAAACAGCCCTTACCCTTGGACTCTTTGGAGGCTGCAGCTGCTGGGAGAAGCTTCAATCTGCACAAGATGACGGCACAGTATTTTATCTTTTATTCTGGTCCCTTTCTCAGTGTCAAGCCCCCCCTCTTTCCCCCCTGCCCTCAACATCCTGTTTCTGGCTTTGGCATCCGTCGAAAGAAGGGTGTACAGAATCTCCTGACACAGGAAAATGTGAAGTCTTGGCACCTGCTGAGAGTGGAAGATCCAGAGACTTATTTACTATTTAACCTCTTAATAAATTATGAAATGGTTTTAATTAATATTTTGCCCCTCTACCCTGCTATGTTATTTATGTTGCTCCCAGTAGTCTCCCCCTCCCAGTCCAGTCCAAGGGGTGTCAGCCTCTGTGACTTGAGCTGGAATCCATCTGTCTGAGTGGAAACTGGGTGTCACGGGAGCCTTTCCTTGTGATCTGGTACCTGCTGGGCCCAAAGTCTCACCTGGAGACTCTGGGACAGGTAGGACTGGTGGCCCATCCACTTGTCACTCCTTTAGCAAGTGCATCAAGTCCCGAGGCTTCGCTCCCTGCTCGTGTGTGTTAATAAAACCTGAGCTCTTGACCTTCCCCCCTGCTGTTGCTGTAGATCCTGTACAGATGCTTTTGTGGCCGTGCAGGGATGCCAAGAGCCTTTGGGGACGTTTCCTCTGCTGCTGTTGTTGTCTTCTGCTGGCTACTGGGAATAAAACTGCAAGGGATTGGGGAGGAATTTTACTGTGCACCAAGTGGGATTTTAACTTTTTATTGGGAGAGGAATAGGGGACTTTGCAATTGAAAGGAGTTTTTAAATATCAATGAAGGCATCGTCTGCCTCTTTTAGTGGAAAGAAGGAATACTTTTATCTTGTTTTCTGTGTGGAATTGGAAAGGATTTATTTCCAGTTTGGAAGCTGGTGCCTAAATCCTGTCTTTTCCTCTGTATGTTTTGCTCTGCCCCCTCTTTGGAAGAGTCCAAGGATTGTGGTCTCTGAGCCTGGAACCACTTGAATGAGGTTGGAGGGAAGTGAGTGAGGGAACGTGGTTGTTCTAACGTGTGTCCTTCGCAGCAGGAGTTCAAAAGGCTCCGTTGTACTTGGTGTCTGAGGAGCTGGAGCTCGGGAAGGAAAAGGTGTGTGAGGTGACACAGTGGAGCCAGTGGCTGGTGGGAGTGTGAGGAAGTGCCCTGGGGCTCCTGGGAGAGCCCAGGTGCTGCTGAGGGGTGTGGTGGCAGCTGGGCTCGCTGGGCACACCCAGGACGTGGCACGTGGAGCCTCGTGGGGAAGGTTTCTGCTCGTGGGTTGTGTCTGTCCCCAGGTGAATTCCCCAGGGCTGGTGCAAGCAGAGGATGGGGCTGGTGAGACCCAGGTCTCGTGGTGGCCTCTGTGAGGGCTCAGAGGCCCGACTGGATCGGAGAGGGGAGGGATTCTCCTGTTCCAAGCCATATTTGCTGCCCTAGGACTTCACTGTCTGGGTGGAAAAGATGCTGGTAGTGGATGCTGTTGTTGTTGGCAGCTCCTGAGAAGCTCTGCTGCTGGCTTTCCGTGGCTGCCAAATCCCAAACCGGTGGAGTTGTCTGTGTGCACTGACCGGGGGAAACCTCGCTGTGAAGGGTCCTCCCTGGAGGGCTCTGGAAAAATCCCTGTTTGCTTCTGCTTTCTCTTGGGTTGTCTGTTTCTTTCCCTTTTTTTTTTTTCTTCTTTTTCTCCCTCCCTTTTAAAAGATTTCTTGCTTTAAAACCATTCTGTCTCCTGTTTATTTGGTCTGTTCTTTTCTTAGTTTGAAGTTCTTGGAAAAATGTTCTCAGACTCTCATGTGCTGTAAGTTTGTTACAGTCCCAGATGCTTAAATGTTACCGTGCAGCATCTTCAGTGTGTGTTGTGCTGTAAAATAATGGCTCCTTACTCCTGCGTTTTTGCTGTATTTAATTTTGCTGTATTTTTAATTAGATAACAATATATTCTCTTTCTGCTGACCGTTGTGCTACCGTTTATTTCTCCTCTGTACTTGGGGCAGGGACAGAGGGGAGGGAAGCAGAGCTTGGCATCGTGTTCAGACACGATGGAGCTTTGAACAAAGGAGCTGGGTGATGCCCAAGAACAATTTTGGGCTCTGCTAAAACTGCCAGTTAATTAATAGCCCAGCTCAGTATTTGGATGGGGGTGTTGCCCACTCGTTGCTGTTTTGGGGTGATGCTCCTTCCCTCTCAGAGCAGCCCCTTTGCTCCAGGCTTTGCCAGCCGTGTCCTTGTTTTAGCTCTGTGGGATTGCAGGGAGGTGACACTGTGTCTGGAGTGACTCTGCTCTGTGCACCCCACGGGGATGATGCCAATTCTTTGCCCTTCCCTTCCTTTTGCTCGGACACTACAGGGCAGAGGAGGGTCATCCCTCGGCTGGGAGCAGAGGAGGGTTATTTCCATGGGATAAGTCTGGGATTAAAGTGCCCGTTCACAGCCTTGTGCAGTTGTTCTGTGCTCCACCACACACAGAGGACCGAGCAGAGCTGCCTCTTCCCCCTTTCCCACCCCATCCCGGCGGGATGAGTTGATGGGAGTGAGGGAGGGGGGGGAGCGATTTGGCCTCGTGTTTGTATTTTGGTCCTGGAACTGTGTATATACGATTTTCTATGTTCTTTTTTTTTTTTTTGTGGTAACTGAGATGAATATTTTAATTAGATAAGTTATATGAAAAGAGGAGAATCATGTCTCAATAAAAGCCAAACGCTGGACCCTGAGCTGCTTGTTCTTTCCTGGCTCTGACAGTGAATGTTAAACCAGCGGGTCTCTGTGGCCCCTTGGAGGGTGATGCTCCGGGATTGGGATTCCCGAAGGGAATGCTGCTCCTGCTCCCTTCCTGGCTGGAAAAGGCCCCCAAGTTTGACCCTCGGAGCCTTTCGCCGGGACCACCGGGGGGACTCAGCACGTGCAGCGTCAGGCCACGCCCACACGGGCGGGGCTTCGGGCTATGTGGGCGGGGCAATGGGCGTGCCTGCTGTATGTGGGCGTGGTGATAAAAGTGGGCGCGGCCTCGTGGACAGTGGGCGCGGCTTCTGAGGCACTGACTCCTGTGCTCTATGGGGCGGTGGGCGTGTCCTGGACTCTGTGGGCGTGACCACACGGCTCCGTGGGCGTGGTCATGGGGCGGTGGGCGTGTCCGGAGGGCTCTGTGGGCGGAGCAACCCAACAACGGGCGTGCCCTGAGTGCTCTGTGGGCGTGGCTTTCAGTGTAATGGGCGCGTCCTTACGGCTCTGTGGGCGGGGCGGCACCACAATGGGCGTGCCCTGAGCGCTCTGTGGGCGTGGCCTCGGCGAGGCAGTGGGCGTGCCCCGGCGGGGCGCATGCGCAGTGCGCAGCCATGGCGCACGGACACGGGCCCGGGCGGTGCCGCTGCTGCTGCGGGGAGGAGGCGGCGGAGCGGGGGGCGGCCTGGGCGCTCTACCTGCGCATCGACCGCCAGCGCCTGCAGTGCCTCAACGAGCGCCGGGAGGGGTCCGGGGCTCTCGTGTTCCGCGCCTGGGAGGAGCGCGGCGACCGCGCGAAGGTGAGGGCCGGCGGTGCGAGGGGGGTCCAGGGCAGGGAGGGGGGGTCCTGGGTGCTGCCCCTCGGCTCGGGGCTGGGCGGGCGCATCGGGAGCGATGCGGGCAGTTCAGGGCTGTTCGGTGCAGGAAAGAGGAGGAGGTGCTGGGGAAGGTCCAGCGGAGGCCGCAGGGATGATTTGGGGTCTGGAACATCTCTGGGATGAGGAGACACCGCGGGAGCTGGGCCTGGTCAGTCTGGAGGAGGGAAGGCTCAGAGGGGACCCATAAATCCACACAAATATCTCATCAATCCATACAAATATCTCCAAGGGGTGTCAGAGGATGGTCCCAGACTCTGTTAAGCGACAGGGCAAGGAGCAATGGCCATAAACTAAAACACAACAAGTTCCACCTCAACCTGAGGCAGAACTCCTTTCCATGGAGGTGGCAGAGCCTGGAACAGCTGCCCGGGGAGGGTGTGGAGTCTCTGGAGACATCCCAGACCCACCTGGACATGTCCCTGTGTCACCTGCTCCAAGTGACCCTGCCTGGGCAGGGGGGTTGGACTGGGTGATCTCCAGAGGTCCCATCCAACCCCAAATAGTCTGTGACTCTGTGAGGCAGGTGCTGCTGTTCCCCTGAGCCCCTCTGGGGTGACCCCCCTGCCTGTTCCCCTGCTCCCCCCACCAGCCCCAGTCCTGACCTGCTCCTCCTTCTCTCCACAGTTCGTGGAAAGCGATGACGATGAGGAGCTGCTGTTTAACATCCCGTAAGTTCCACCACCCCTTGTTCCTCCCCTGGGGACGAGGCACAGCGTGTGCCCCTCCAACAGGGGCTGATTTTGGAGAGACTGGAGGTGCAGACCGTGCTCTGTGTGTCTGGGCAGGTTCACAGGCAGCGTGAAGTTAAAAGGAGTCCTTGTGATGGGCGAGGACGATGGGACACACCCGGCGGAGATGAGGCTGTGAGTAAATCCAGCTTTTCACCTTTCTGGAGCTGAGCTGAGCTGAGCTGAGCTGAGCACCCTCACGCTGTGCCCAGGCACCACTGAGGGCTGTGCTCTGGTGCTGTGCTGCCTGGTCATCCCAAGGACCCAAGAGGGAAAATAAACTGCAGCTTGTGTGGGATGAGTGTGGCTGCTCCTGCCTTTTCTCCAGAGAAATGAGGGGCTGCTTTGAGTTGGAATATTTGGTTCAGACACTAGCTGTGCACTGTGAGGAACCAACCTGCCATGGCCTCAGTGGGGTGGGTCAGAGGGTCCAGAGGGGAGCTCTGAGCAGTGGGAAGGAGGGACTGTGAAGAGAAGTATCCTGCAGCCAGGTGAGGTTTGTAAGGCTCCTGCTGTGCTGAGCCACGTGGCTCCTGAAGGGAGACAGATCCTTCTTTACACTGCTGCTTTCTTATTTTAACAAAAGAGTGTTGAGTGCTCTGCAGTTCCTGCTTGTGAGGGGAAAAACACACCTTAATCGAGCCAACACTGTCCTGTGTGTCCCACAGAGAGGATGTGAAGCCCTCTCAGGGCTCACCTTGCACCTGGTCCTGTTGTTGTGCTCCGAGGGACAAAGGAGATGCACAGCCCAAGTGCTGGTGTTGAATTTTAGGTGGAATTACCTGCTATGTGGCACCCAGCTTCCCCTGTTTTCCTCCAATATCTGGGCTCCCTCATGTACCCAAGAGAGATCTGCATCTCCCCACCTTTGTCCCCTGCTTTTCCAAGTTATTTCTTCAGGCTGTTGTGTTTTCTGGTGATGCTTTGTGGGGATGTGAGAAGACAAAGCCAATTCAGCTTCTCCTCAAGAAGAATGTGGGCAGTGCTAATGGATGGGGAGGAAAACAATTATCTTGCCCTGCTGTTAACAACTCCCTGGGTTTCCTTCCTGTCTCCTCAGGTTCAGGAACATTCCTCACATGTCCTTTGATGACACAGCCAGGGAAGCAGAGCAGACCTTCAGCCTGAACCGGGACCCCCTGGGCGAGCTGGAGTATCCCACCAAGTGAGAGACACACCCTGGGGGTTGGGGGCTGCTCCTCCCTGCCACAGGAGCTCAGTCCAGCCTGCCCACGTGCTGCCAAATTTAGGGCAGTGTCAGCCCAGGGCAGAATTCGCCTCCCCAGCTCTGTCCTGCCCTTGCCAGGTGGGAGCTCTGGCCCAAAACCTCCTCCCTGGAGCCTGGGGGTGGCAGTTCCAGTGCCCCAGGGCTTCTTGTGATGCCTTAAAATCTATATTTTATCTTAAATTCTTAACAAGGAATGTTAAAGAGGTATTTTTAAGAATTTTGTACAGAGGTACTAGCAGGCTAAACGTACTAGCAAGCTGTACTAAAATTCATATAATATAGATTTTAAGGCATCACTCAGGGTGCAGAATCACCCTGGTGTCCTGTCCCCTGTCCCTGGGCTGTGACAGCTCGTTGCTGACCCACGGGTGTCAGGGAGCAGCTCCTCCTGCACCTCAGATGTTTGATCCCCGGTCCGAGTGGGATCAGGGGGAGCTGGAGTGGGGCTGTGGGGCTGTGCTGGAGTGGCAGCTCCGGCCTCAGGGTGTGTTTCCTTCCAGAATTGCCCGTTTCTCCAACGTTTACCACCTCTCCATGCACTTCCCAAAGAACTTCGGGGCGGAGACAACGAAGATCTTTTACATCGGCCTGAAGGGGGAGTGGACAGAAGTGAGTGAGGGCAGAGAGGGACGAGCCCGAGCCAGGGGGGTGCGGAGGGCTCGAAATCATTGATTAAGTCAAATTCTGGTGGAGGGACAGAGCCGCGAGCGGTGCGGGGGGCCCGAGGGCGGGCTGGAATCCCGCTCCCCCTGGACGTAACAGCCCCGATCTCCACCCAGGCTCATCGCCACGAGGTCACCATCTGCAACTACGAGGCCTCCGCGAACCCCGCCGACCACAGGCTGGAGCAGATCACGCCTCAGACACACTTCATCTCCTGAGGGCTGGGACGGGGCGGCTCCCGGGACACGACATCCAGCCCCGCGTGTCGGGACAGGCGCGGCCGGGCCGCGTGTGTGAGGCGCTGCCCGCGGGCCGGGCTGTGGCGGGCAATAAACACGCTGAGGTGCAGAGCTGTGCGCTGTCCCTGAGTGCGGCTGTCGGGGGGGTGTCTCCCGGTGCCCGGTTCCATCATGGCCGCCGCGGCGTCTCCCCCGCCGCCGTCGCCGCCGCGTGACGTCACTTCGCGCCGCGCCGGCGGAAGTTCCGGCGCGAGGCGGGGGGGGAGAGCCGCGAGGAGCGCGCGCGCCGGGCCGCGGGAGAGGGGAGGGGGGGGGGTCGGCGGGGGCCCCTCACGGGGGTTAACGGGGGACGGGGATCCGAGGGGCCGCGATTCTGGCTCCCGTAGCGGGGCCACCCGCTTCCCGCTCCCCCAACCCCCCCTGCGAGCCTTCAGGAGTCACAGCGGGAAAAGCCTCTCCCAAAATCCCTGTTTTCCAGGGAAAACCGGCGCTCCCGCCCCGGCCGGGGCAGGTCAGGCCGGCTCCCGCCTCCACCGCATCCGTTTCCAGGCGGGATTTGTTCCTCTCGGGCCCGTGCGAGCGGCTGGGCCGCCGTAATTATTAACGCTAATTAACGCTAATTGCCCCCCGTCCTGATGAGCGTCGCGGGGGGTGTGTGTGTGTCAGTGCGGGTGCCACACTTTAAACAGCCCCACTCGGACCCAGCTCCCCCCTCCCCGGATCTCTGTGGTGATGCTTCCACACCCACGCGGGCTGTGGGGCTTTGTCCTTCCCGCTGCTCCCGGTGTTGTGTTCCCGCCGCTCCCGGTGTCGTGTTCCCTCCCAGGGCATTCCCGGCTGTCCCCACGGGGTGTTCGGGGCAGCCCTGACCAGCCCCTCCTTTCCCCCGGAGCCCCCCCAGCGAGGCAGAGCCGTGAGGGGCTGAGCCCTGCCCGGGGAGGGGGAGCGGCTCCGTCTGCCAGGATTTTTTAGAGATGCTTTTATTTATGGCTCCTTGTCGCCAGGATTTTTGGCAGGTGCTGCTGCCGCTCCTCCTGGCTGGTTGTTTTGCCCCTGGAGTACACACACACACACACGAGCACGTGGGCCGCGTGTCTGTGTCAGATCCGGGGAGCCGGTTGTTTCCCGGTGTTTTTATTGGAGCCGGGAAGCGGCTGATGAGCAGTCGGGCGAACGAGTCGGGCAGGTCTTTGGCCAGGGCTGGGAGAGGAGAAGGCTGTTTCTCTTGGGTAAGGATGTCTGCTGGGACACCGGGATTTTGGGGAAGGTTTGGGTGATCCGGGCCGTGCTGGGGGTGGTGCTGCTGTGGGATGCGAGGCTGGAGCAGGCTGTGGGCTCTGCAGCTTCCTCAGAGGGGCAGCTCCGATCTCTGCTCTGTGTGAGCAGGAACAGGACCCAGGGAACGGGTGGAGCTGTGTCAGGGCAGGGTCAGGTTGGATTTCAGGAAAAAGTTCTTCCCTCAGAGGGTGGTCGGGCACTGAACAGGCTCCCCAGGGCAGTGGGCACGGCCCCAGAGCTCCAGGAGGGTTTGGACAACGCTCTGAGTGACAGGGTGGGATTGTTGGGGTGTCAGTGCAGGGCCAGGAGTTGGGCTGGATGATCCTGGTGGGTCCCTTCCAACTGAGGATATTCTGTGATCTTCCTCTGGGAGGCTGATCCTGCTCCTCGGGGATGATGGCAGTGCTGTAAACGAGCTCTGATCTAATTAGTCCTGGTGGGTCAGCAGGGTCACGTCAGGAGCTGGGAATAAACACCATGGATTGTTGTGGGGGCTGTCAGCCCTGCTTGACCCGGGATCTGGGAGGTGACAGCCCTTGGTGCTGGCAGGACACTGTGACAGTGGGGACAGCGGTGATGGCCCTGGCTGTGGTCACAGGGCACGACAAGGATGTCATCCATCACTGAGGGGGCACAGCTCCAGGAGGGGCTGGGGCTCAGGCCAGCTGCCAGTGCTCCGGCTTATCCCTAAAAAAGCTCCATAAAACAGGGCTGGACCTTTCTTAGTGCAGTAAACCCTGTGCTGCTGCTGGCGTTTCCTGCTTCCCTGTCAGAGCAGATGTGGGTCAGGCTTCTCCATGGCTCCACTGGCAGGGATGAGGGGATGAAGGGATGCTGGGGCTGCGCCCTCTGCCCACGCCGGTGCAGTCACAGGAATAACTTTGGCTCTGAGGTGTAATTTTTGAGCTAATTTTAACACTTCCAGCACCCCACAGCGTGTGACACGGGAAGTGTTTGCTGCTTCCTGACTCTCCGGCACCACCAGGCCGGGGATGGAGTGGGGTGTCCCGAGGGCTTGAAACATCAAAGCCTTTACCTGCTCTTTAATTTTCCCCCAAACAGCTGCTGCCTCTGCAGCAAATAGTTGCTGGGGGGGGTGGAACAAGAGGGGGGAAGAGGAGTTTATTTTCCTGCCTCACCCTTGTCCCTGTGTCCTGCAGGTGCCAGTGTCGAGTCCCTCTCGGTGTATGTGTGGTAACAACATGTCTGTCCCCCTCCTCGCCGACGCCGTGACCGTCTCAGGGGCAGAGCGGGAGACCGCCGCGGTAAGGGAGGGACCCCCTCCTGCTGCCTCCCTCCTGGCAGGAGGCTGGAAAACAGGGAGCTGCTTCCATGAGGTTCAGAGGAGCCTTGAGCCGGGCCTGTGGTCCCTCAGCTCATCAGGGTGGGAGGCAGGGCCAGCAAGGGCTCGCCTTGCTTGGGAAAAGTGGCTGTCCTTGGGCTGGGATGTTCCAGTGTGGAAGCACAGACACAGCCTCGCAGCTCGGCCTTGGAAGCTGGAGCTGACTTGGCTATTTAAGCTTTTAAAAGAGAACTCCCTCCCAGTCCTTCCCCGGGGTGCCCAGGCTGCTTTCCCTTTGCCCCCCATGGCTTAGGGCTTTCTGTAGCCTCAGATGAAAAGCCCATGGGGATGAGTTTGTGAGTGTTTGGTGATACATGAAAGAAATTCCTCCCCGTGAGGTTGGGAGGCCCTGGCACAGGTTGCCCAGAGAAGCTGTGGCTGCCCCATCCCTGGAAGTGTCCAAGGCCAGGTTGGAGCAACCTGGGCTAGTGGAAGGTGTCCCTGCCCATTGCAGGGGGTGGCACTGGATGAGATTTAAGATCCCTTCCAACACAAACCATTCTGTGGTTCAGATTGGGCCTCTGCCATGTCCCTGATCCACCCATCCCTCGTGCTCCAAACAGCACAGACGTGTCCTGAGTGTCGCTGAGTTGAGTCTCTTCTAGGCAGTGACTCAGTGTCCATTTGCCACCTCACTGCTGGCCCAGCCCAGCCCTGCCCTTCTCCCAGGGCTCCAGCTCTCACACCAGCTAATCCTCTCCTTTTGCTGTTTGACAGGTCATTTTCCTACATGGCCTTGGAGACACGGGGTGAGTATCCCTGGAGCCAGCTCTGCCGGGGACTCGTGGCTTTGCTGACGTTTGCATTTTGCCCTTTGCTGCTGCTCTCCCTGGGGCAGGGGCAGCTCTGAGATCTGTGTGGGGCTTTGGGCTGGGGTCCATAGCTGCTCCTGCGCCACCCTGACAGGGAATGGCAGGGAATCACAGGGAATTGAGGCCGGCAGCTGTCTGCACTTGAATATTTATGATGCCGGCAGCCTGGCAGCCCCCACCCCCCGCGGGTGGTGCTGCCTTTCAGGATTGCTGATAAGCACTGCGGCTTTTCCAGTCCTTGGGAGCGCTGGGAGCTGGGCTGTGCCTGGCCCAGGGCATCTCTGGTGTGCAAGGCCACCTAGGGAGGACAGTGTGGGGTATGGAGGTGACAAAGGCCCTTCTCCCCTCCTCCTTGTCCTCCCCAGGGCTTTGTGTGCTGCCCTCGCCCTGATGCAGAGGGGGATCAACATCAGTGGGGACTCAGTGCTGGGGCTTCACAGGGGGATCAGGCTGTTGGGGAGGGCAGGACCTGGTAAAATAACATCAGGGGAGGGGCAGGGTGGGCACAAGCCTTGGGGCAAATGGCTCAGACAAGCCTTGAACACCCTGTGCCCTCCCCTCTCTCGCAGGCACAGCTGGGCCGACGCTCTCTCCTCCATCCGCCTCCCCTACGTGAAATACATTTGCCCTCACGCGTAAGTGCTGCCCTTGCCTGGGGGTGCCCTGGGGGGAGAGTCTTGGGGGGCTATGAGGCTGTTTGTTGGGGGAAGCAGATGGTGGCCTGAGCCCTGACCTGCCCATGGGGCTGCACAGCCAGGCTGGCTCAGCTGCCGTAGCCAGTTCCTGCTACAGGCAGAGTGGTTCCCCGCAGAGCTACCAGCACAGGAGCTGCTGCTCTGAGGCTCTTTTCCTCCCCCTCCTGTCCTCTGCTTATCCCTGGTGGCTGCAGTGAAAGCCAAAGGCACTGGAGCTCCTTTTCCATTCGCTGGTCAGGCAGGAGGGGGCTCAGCAGAAAGGGAAGGACACGGTCCTGATGTGTCCCCAGTGCCAACAGCCTGTGCAGGGGGCACTCACTGGGCTGGGAGAGCTCTGCTGTCCCTTTCCAATGTCCCATCTTGGCCTTGGGAGCGGCAAACAGGAGAGGGATGCAGGTGCTCTGCTCCCCAGCTGGGCTGCTTGGCAGTGCCCTGGAGCCTCCAGCTCATCTAGGATCTGCTCAGGGATGGCAGGTGATCCCCAGGGTCACCTTGCAGCCCCTGGGCCAGGTCTGGTGGCCCTGATCTGCCACTTTCCCTTGGGAGTCATGTCCTGCAGCTGTGGACAGGAAGGACAGTCCCCCCTGTGCCCCTTGACTCTGCCTTGAGCTAAACCACCCACACTTTCTCTGCAGGCCCCGGATCCCAGTGACCCTCAACATGAAGATGGTCATGCCCTCCTGGTCAGTGCTTTGGGGGGGGCAGGGGTGGGTGGGACCCTTTTGGGGAGTGGGAGGGATGAAGAGCCAAAATCCACTGCCCTGTGGGAGTCAGGGAGGGCAGAGCACACCCAGCTCCTGCCTCCCCACACCCTGGGTGCTGGGAGAGGTTGGGGCTGACCCTGCTGCTTCTCCCAGGTTTGACCTCATGGGATTGACTCCGGATGCACCTGAGGACGAAGCTGGGATCAAGAAAGCTGCAGAAAACAGTAAGAAGCTTGGGGGAAGGGGAAGTGGTGAGCTCCTGAGTGCCTCTCCCTGAGGGCTGAAGCGTGTGTTTTCCTTCCATCTCTCCTTCCTTTCTGCCCTCCGGTGATCCCAGTCCACCTTCTCCTTGGGATCTCTGCCTCTCTCTGATGTGCCAAATGTCCTGTGTGCATCTGGAAGTGTCAGGTGATGCTTTTCACCCCCTCCCCACCTTCCACTGACCCGTTTCTCCATCTTCTTCCAGTTAAAGCAATTATTGAGCACGAGATGAAGAACGGGATCCCCGCCAACCGCATCATCCTGGGGGGCTTCTCACAGGTGAGCTGGAGCACATGAGGGTTGGGACCCCAGTTTCCCCTCCAAAAACACCTCTCAGAGGGAGGTTCTGTGGTGAGGAGGTGGGTGAGTGCCCCAGGATCCCCCCCCAGCACTAACTCCATCCTCCTCTGCTCCAGGGCGGTGCCTTGTCGCTGTACACGGCTCTCACCTGCCAGCACCAGCTGGCTGGAATTGTGGCACTCAGCTGCTGGCTCCCACTCCACAAGGCCTTCCCACAGGTATCCCGTGCTGCCATATCCGCAGGGAGGGGCGGGACGGGGGGGATTTTCCCACCTGGAGTTCTCCAGAGTGGAATTTCCCAGCAGCTTTCCCCACAGCCCTGTTGAACAGGGAGCTGCCAGGTGATGTGTTGGGCGCAGGGATGCAGCACTGCCCCCCCATCCCTGCTGGAATGCCTTCACCTGGGCACACCTTTGCATTCCCTTCTCACGGCAGGCAGCGAACAACAGCGTGAACAAGGACATTGCCATCCTGCAGTGCCACGGGGAGATGGATCCCATGATCCCCGTCCGCTTCGGGGCCCTCACTGCCGAGAAGCTGAAATCTGTCGTCACCCCCACCAAGGTCCAGTTCAAAACCTACCCCGGCGTGATGCACAGTTCCTGTCCTCAGGTCAGTGCCGTGGGAGGGGATGGGATCCCCCCTGGGAATGTCTCTACTCTCTGTGAGCAGGGACAGGGCCCAGGGAACGGCTGGAGCTGTCCCAGGGCAGGGTTAGGTTGGATCTCAGGAAAAGGTTCTTCCCCCAGAGGGTGGTTGGGCACTGAACAGGCTCCCCAGGGCAGTGGGCACAGCCCCAGGGCTGACAGAGCTCAAGAAGCATTTGGATGATCCTCTCAGGACCAGGGTGGGATTGTTGGGGTGTCAGTGCAGGGCCAGCAGTTGGACTGGATGATCCTTGTGAGTCCCTTCCAGCTCAGCATATTCTGTGATTCCGTGACCCTCGGGGGCTGGAATCACCTTTGGGATCTTTGGGACCATCCCCAGCACGGTGGGTCAGGGAAAACACACGGGATGTGTTTGTTCCCGCCTCGCACTGGGGAGGCTGCACAGCCCCCGTGCCAGGGCAGGACCCACCTTTGGGGTGTCCTTGTGGCCCCCCGGGGTGACGTGCCCTGCGCTCCCCGCAGGAGATGATGGCGGTGAAGGAGTTCATCGAGAAGCTGCTGCCGCGGATCTGAGCGGAGCCGCTCGGGACTGTCGCAGGGGAGGGTGCCGAGGTCACAGCCGCCCATCTCCCCCCCGTGACCCGCCTGCTGCAAACGGAAGCCATGGCCCCCCACTGCACCTCCCGCCGCACCCCCGGCCCCCACCTCCCCCCGCCGCCTCTCACCGTGCCCTCCCGGGCTGGGGGTGCCCCGGCTCCCCCTGCTGCTCTCGGAGCCGAGGTTGGAGCTGTCGAAGGCGAGTCTTGGAGTGGCCTTTTCTCTCCTCCTCTTGCTCCGAGCGGGTTCCCTGGGGGTCACCGTCCCCTGGGCCCCTGCGGTGTGCGGGGCTGGCACAGGGTGGGGGAGGTGTTTCTGTTGGGTTTCGGTTTTTTGTACCAGTATTAGGGGTGGGATGTGCCCGGGTGCAGCGGGGGGAGCGGGGCGGGCACAGGGCAGGGCTGGGGCACCCCTGTGGCCCAGCCCGGGCTAAGGTCTGCTCTTGGCCTCCCCTCAGGCGACTCACGGGTTTTCAATCAGAGCTCAGGAACCCGGGACTCCCCTGCAGACACCCCCAGGCCCCGGGGCAGGCTCTGCCCTGGGCCGGTACCGCCAAAGGCTGCCCGGGGCCGGGGCAGGGTCAGCGCAGCCCCCGCACCTCCCGCACGGCCCCGCCTGTCGCACACGCACACTCCCCCCGGCCTGGGCAGCTCTGCCCTACTCAGATAATCGCCTCCTTCCTCCTCCTCCTCCTCCTGTTGCTTTTACAATCTCCTCCTCGGCCCTGCGGGGGTCCCAGAGGTGTCTCCCCCCATCCCCAGCCCAACTCTGCGCCCTCAGAGCCCTGAAGCTTCGTTTACAGTCACAGGCGGAGCCGCCCGGCGCCGGCCCCGTCCTTAATGTCTCTCTTGCTGCTACTTGTCCTTTCCTTTGGACTTGGGCTGGCTCGGGGAGGGAGAGGTGATGTCCCTGGACCCCAGGTTTGGCTCCTGGCGCAGCTGGAAGAAGCAGCTTTGCCCCCAAGCCATCATCTCACCAGCATCTGAGGCCTGGGTGCTGCTGCGCCCCGTCCTGTGGGCAGCGCGGGGGTCTCTGTGCTCTCTGGGGTCTCTCTGCTCCCTGGGGCTGTGGGCTCTTGTCCCACTGTGTACAATCACCAGGGTCCCCGGGGTCCCTTGCCCATGGGTTTGTCCTCTCCTGAGTGCTGGCATCGTGCTGGGTGCGGGGCCGGGACCGTCCCCAGCAGCTCCCCGGGACAGGGCCCTGAATGTCTCCTCTGGGTGGGCTCCTGGCCCTCCCCTCCCCTCCCGCAGGGCTGAGGGCAGTGGCTGTGGAGCAGCGCTGCCCTCGCCTCCCCCCGGGCTGAGCCCACACCCCCATGGCCTGGGGCTGATCATGTATTTTAGAACCCCCCACCACCACCCCTGGCCCCAGGGCTGTCCCCACTCCCCCTGGTCTGGGCCCAGCCCCTCACCCTGTGGAGCTTCTGCCCGGTGCCCCAGGACCAGCAGTGGGCTGGGGCCAGGGCTGGCAGCTCCCCAGGGCCAGGGGCTGGTGAGGGGCTCTGGAGGGGGCTCTGCTCCAGCCGTGCCCCCCCAGCCCGGGATGCCCAAAGCAATAACCCGCTCTCCAGAGAGTTGGATCTGTGGGACCCACCTTTGGTTGGGTTCTTGGCTTGGAGTTTGGTTGGGTTTTTAATTTTTTTCTCCCCTTTGGGAAGTCTTAAACCAGCAAAGCTGATGCTGGTGTTGGGGGGAGCCCGGCACTGCCCCTGCCCTGGGGGTCAGTCCTGCTGGGTCTTCTGTGCTGTGTTTTAACGCTGCTCTGTCCCCTCTCCCTGTGCTGGGCCAGGGTGGGGGCACGGGGAGCTGGCTGGGGTGGGAGTGCAGCTCCCTGTGGATCACTGAGGGCTGGTTGGGGTGGGAGTGCAGCTCCTTATGGATCACTGAGGGCTGGCTGGGGTGGGAGTGCAGCTCCTTATGGATCACTGAGGGCTGGCTGGGGTGGGAGTGCAGCTCCCTGTGGATCACTGAGGGCTGGCTGGGATGGGAGTGCAGCTCCCTGGGGGTACCGAGGGCTGGCGATGCTCAGACCGACCTGTTTGACTGTGAACTGGAACTGTGTGCGATGGGGGGGCCCGGGACCATCCCTGGGGGGCCTCGTTTGGCCCCCTCCTGCAGAGCATTCCTGCTCACTCCCCACCTGGGAACCCAGGAGGGAGAATGGCTTCTCTCCATTCCTCAATACAGCTTTGGGTTTCTTCTTCTTTTTTTTTTCCTTTTTTTTTTTTTTCCTTCTCTCGTCTTCCTTGTACATGTTTGGGGTTTTTTGTGTGTGTGTGCGTGCGTTCCACAGAGAAACAAGGTTAAATAAATCCTGAACCTACCCCAGAGCTGAGCTGGCCTCATTCCTGGCTGGGCAGGACCCCCCAACAGCACCTCTGGGAGGGAGGGATGGGGAGGGGAGCGGGTTAGAACGAGGCCCCAAGGTGCCATTTTTGGGGGCAGCAGCTCTGGCTGAGGGGAAGCAGAACAAAGCTGCCACTTAGAAAGTAGGAAAGTTTATTTAAAAACAAATCAAAAGCTCAATTCATAATTTAGAAGCATAAGTTATTCATCCAGCCGACAGCAAAGGGGGCCGACTGCGTCATCCCTGCCTGACAGAGCCCTTGGAGCTGCCAGGAATAAATAGGAGCAGTATGAGAGGCTCCTGGGCAGCCTTTGCCAATGGGATTTGGGAAGCGGCTGCCACAGGAAACGTGGAAGCAAAACCAGGCACCAGTGGGGTGATAAACCAGGCCAGGCTGGCACAGCCCTGGCAGGGGCTTCTCTGGCTCAGCAGGAGCACGTGGGATGAGATTTGGTCCCCGAAACCATGCTGGGGGCAGGGAAAAGTGTGTGTGTGTATGTGCAAAGCCCTTGGCCCTGGAGAGCTGGGCTGGGGAAATGAGCCGTGGTGGCCTTGGAATGTGACTGGTCCCTGTGGGAGTGGGGAATGGGGGTGTTCCTGGGACTCAGCACCTTCTCCATGCCCAGGGCAGGGGCTGTGGGTGCCTCCCCCTGAGACCAAGAGCCAGGTGGGGCAGCAGGGAATGGGGGGCTCCTCTGCAGTCTGGGCTCAGCAGGACTCACAGTGTCCAAGTGCTGGATGCAGCCACTTCCCAGGGCACAGGGAGGGCCCAGGAGCAGCTCCAGTGGTGGCTGCAGGGCCCAGCCAAGCACAGCCCCTGGACATTCCCATGGGGGGTTCCATGGGAGCCAAACCAAGCCCTGGCTCTTTTCTCCATTGTGGTTCTGCTCTGTGAGATGCAAAGGACCTGAGGGGGATGAGGATGAGGAGCAGAGAGGCTGAGGATGCTCCAGCCTCCCTGCCCCGTGCCAGAGGCAGGAGGGGGAGCTGGAGCTGCTCCCAGGACCAGGAGGGGGAGCTGGAGCTGCTCCCAGGACGGTGATGGCCTCACTGGGGCCGCAGGAGGAGGGAAGGGCTGGCCTGGAGCAGCCCCCGAGCCGGGCCAGCCCTCGGCCATGGCTCAGTTCTTGCTAAAGCCCGTGGGATTCTGCAGCTGCCACCGCCACAGGTCCTCACCTGGAATGGGGAGAGGGGAGGTGAGGGTGGGCCAGGCCTGGCAGTGCCCCCTGTGCCAGGGAGGGGGTGTCCTTACACATCTTGTCCAGGCCAAAGGCAGCTTTCCAGCCCAGCTCCCGCTCAGCCAGCGCCGGGTCCGCGTAGCAGGAGGCCACGTCCCCCTCCCGCCGGGCCGTGACCTTGTACTTGATCTGCAGGGAAAGCAGCTCTGGGGGCTCAGAGAGGGCACTGAGGGGGTGCTGCCGGGGGCTGCTGTGGCAGAGATGGCTTGGGGGGGGTGAGGGAGGTCTCTGGGAACAGCTGGTTCTGTGCCCTGCAGGTCGGACCTTACCTCCCTCCCCGAGGCTTTCTCCATGGCCTGGACCATCTGCAGGACGGAGTAGCCGGTGCCTGTGCCCAGATTGTAGATCTGGGAGGAGGACAAGGGACATGGATCAGCTGCTTTTGGAAGGAGACAAGGGCCAAACCCCACCTTTATCTCCCTGGGGACCCCCATGCCCCCCCAGGGCTGGCAGCCCCCAGTGTCCCCCGGGGTACCTTGCAGCCACAGTTCTCCTTGAGCTTCTTCAGAGCAGCGATGTGGCCCTTGGCCAAATCCACGACATGGATGTAATCCCTGACTCCTGCAGGCAGGCAGAGGGTGAGGGCAGAGCCCTGTGCCCGGGGTGACCCCAGGTTGGGGGGGCTGCAGGGCAGTTCTGCTCCACCCTTTCCATGCCGTACCTGTTCCATCATCCGTCTTGTAGTCGTTCCCAAACACACTCAGGAATTCCCGGCGTCCCACTGCCACCTGACAGAGGAACAAGGAGCCCTGTCAGCCTGTGCCCCCCTCTCCATGACCCCAGGGGTGCCCAAAGGCTGCAGCGGGGTGGTACCTGCGCCACGTAGGGCATGAGGTTGTTTGGGATCCCCTGAGGATCTTCCCCGATCATCCCCGACTCGTGGGCACCGATGGGGTTGAAGTAGCGCAGGAGAACAGCGTTCCAGTCCTGGGGGGACACAGACACTGCCTGGGTGGGAGCTTGGGGGGCTGCCTGCTCACCCCTCACTCCAGTGGGAACAGCCCTCGGCTCCCGGCCCCGTGGGGCAGCCCCTCACCCGATCTGCTTTGCAGAGATCCCGGATCATCTCCTCGATGAAGAACTTGGATTTGCCGTAGGGGTTGGTGCAGCCTCCCACCGGGTGGTTCTCGTCCAGGGGGAGGTACTTGGGGTCCCCATAGACGGTGGCAGAGCTGCTGAACACGATGTTCCTCACGCCGTGGGCCTGCATGGTCTGGGGGGCAGGAACAGCCAGCACTGAGCCAGGGAGATCCCTGTGCTGAGGGTCAGCCCTGCCCAGGCACTGCCACAGCCCGGGCATGGGGAGCACCGGGAGCAGCACATGGAGCAGCACCTGGAGCAGCACAGCCACCTCAGCACAGGATCACGCCCTTGTTCTTCCTGTGAAACCCAGCCAAGATCCTGGTCTCTCCCATATCCCACAGCACAGGTCCCTCAGGCTTTACCCCAAGGCAGGGAGTTCTCACAGTGTTCGTTTGGATGATCTCTGCCCTTTTCCACCCATTTCCCGTTTTTCCTGCAGCTCTGAAATCCCCCCTTTATGGTGGTCCCAGCCCCCCCTGCAGCCCCTCAGCACCACCCCGGGCACCCCCCTCTCACCTCCAGCAGCCGGATGGTCCCGGTGAGGTTCACTCTGTAATATTCCAGAGGCTTCTGCACCGACTCCCCCACCGCCTTCAGCCCCGCTAAGTGCAGCACGGCCGAGAACTGGTGCTGCACGGGAGGGAGGGAACAGCAACAGGACATGGGATCTCCGGGCAGGAACCAGCCGGGATTCCCCCCCCCCCAGGAGCGCCATTCAGCCCCCCGGGGGGGCTCCACAACCCCGCAGGAACAGGGGTTTCCTCAGCGCTGCCCTTCTTCCCCCGGTTCCCACCTCGCCCTTCCCCGGGAGCCCAGGAGCCACCCCGGGCACTGCAGCTCCTGCTCTCACCTTCCTGAAGAGCTCCTGGAGCGCGGCCCCATCGGTGATATCCAGCTCCTGGAAGAGGACGGGCCGGCGCACGATCTGCTCCACCCGCCGGAGGCTCTCGGGGAGCGCGTCCGACCCTGGGGGATGGAGGGGAGTGAGGAGCTGGGATTTCTGGGGGTCCCGGCACAGCCCGGGGAGGGATGAGGCTCCTCCGTACCTCGGATGGCGTTGTGGAAGTTGTCAATGACCACGGGGACGTATCCAGCCTCCAGCAGCTCCAGCACGCAGTGGCTGCCGATGTACCCCGCGCCGCCCGTCACCAGGATCTTCTCGGCCATGGCTCTCCCTGGGGCAGGAAAATCCCTCAGCTCCGTGTGGGGCGGCCTGGAACGGGCACAGCTCGGGCACCGTCACGTCAGCAGCGCCTCCGGCACTTCCTGCAGCTCTCCCGGGGACAGGGATGGGCTGGAGCGCGACCTGGCAGCGCGGGCACACCTCCCGGACACGGAGGGTGGGTCTGGCACTGCCACGGCCCGGGAAAAACCCTCGTCCTTCCTGTGAGATCCCGGTCTCTCCCGTATCCCACTGCACAGACCCCAGAGCACAGGGGCAGGGAGTTGGGATGAATTTGGGTGGTCTCCACAGGGGGCTCGGCTCTGCCCTTTCCCCACCCATTCCCTGGTTTTCCCGCAGCTCTGGAGTTCCCCCTTCATCGCGGTCCCAGCCGCCCTTCCCAGTGCTCGCTCCGTTCCATCCCCGCTTCCCAGGACACCGCAGGGGTATCTGTGGGACCCGGGAGCTCCCGGGAAGGAGCAGTAGCTCCTGTTCCACGCTCGGAGGGAAGGACCCGCCGTGTCACCGGGATGTGGGACCAGCACAGGGAGAGGTTCCACCCTGAGCCCCCCAAAATGCTGGGAGGGCAGTGCCGGGGGGGAACAGCCCCTGGGGGGGGGGAATAAGGGGGATTTCAGTCCGGGGGGGGGGACAGGGATGGGACCGGGGCACGGGCAGGGCCGGTCGGGGGTGCCCGGGGGGCTCAGGGGATCCCGGGGGGCTCCCCTGGGGGTGGGACAGGGGCTTCCTGGGGGTCCCTGGGGCCGAACGTGCCCCTGGGGCTGGAATTACCCCGGGGGCTGGATCTATCCCAGGGGTCCTGAGGTATCCCAGGGGCTGGAATTACCCCTGGCTGGAGATACCCTGCGGTCCTGGGGGTACATCCAGGGGCGGGAATTACCCCAGGCGTCCGAGGACATCCCAGGGGCTGGAATTACCCTGGGGGCTGGATCAATCCAAGGGTTCCTGTGCTATCCCAGGGGGCTGGATTTACCCCAGGGATCCAGGGGTATCCCGGGGGCTGGAATTATCCCGGGCGCCGGCGTTTTGGGCTCTCCCTGCCACAGGAAGGCACGGCCGAACGGGGCAGCGCATCTGTCCTCCCGTTCCCATTCCCGTCCCCATTCCAATTCCCATTCTCGTTCTCGTTCCCATCCTATTCCGTTCCCGTTCCCTTCCCATTCCCGTTCCCCCCAGTCACTCACCCTCCGCTCCCGCTCCGCCCGCGGGCGCGGCCCCTTTAAGGCCCCTCCATGGAAACGTGTCCCCGCTACGGGAACCCGGCGCGGACAAAACACCCCCGAGGGACGGCGGCGCCCGGCGGCGGGAGGAGGGAACTGCGCCCTCCCAAAAATCCCCGTTTATTGCCCGATTCCACCCCATTTCAGCGCCGGTTATTGTGGAACGTTTATTTAATTGCTACAGTTCACTGAAGGGATGTGGAGAGACGGTGCCGTACGCAGAGAAAGGCACAGCCACGAACCCCACCCAAAAGAAGGACGAGGCTCCCACCTCACAAATAAACTAAAATAAATTATTTTAAATAGAAATTTTTTGGGGGAGGGTTTCCTCATGACCTATGAGGAGCAGGGGGTGTTTCACACTCTCTGCCACGGCCCCAGCTGATGTGGTGTTTTCACTTGGAACCGAAGCAGCAGCTTTAACTGGTTCAGTTTATTAGAAACGTGATTTGTTCAAAATGTTAAATAATGTTTGTTATCCTAGTGTTTAAAGGTATCTTACAACAGATACACTGTCCTTTGCCACAATCCCTGTAAGACTGTCCAAGGCTGCCCCAGGACATTCAGAGGCTTTTGACTCAGGCTTAACACTCGTAGTGAGAAGGGAAGGGCAAAGCCTGACCTGGAGAAGTGCTCCAACTGGAAAAACTGTGGGTTATCCTTGGCTGGTGGCCTAAGGCTCAAGGCAGGAGTCAGTGGATGCTGGTCTGACCAGAGCCCATCCACATCCTCCCTTCCCTAAGGCAAATGGTGACATCCTCAAGATCAAATCTAATATTCTCGTTTCCCTCATTTCTTCATAAATTCTGGTGGATTATGAGTTTCCTCTCAAGTGCTGAGCCAGGAAGGAGCACTGGAGATCAGAGAGGAATTCCAGGCAGTGCCAGATCCTCGCTTTCTTCTCGATCCAGGGAGAAACTCCCCTCAGTGTCACAGTCTGCAGGACGCCTGGGACACCTTGGAGTTGGTTCTTCGGTTGAGAGCGTTGCAGATGAAGGTGCCCGTGTCCATGAGCTTCTGCAGATCCACACCCTGCAGGGGGGAAGCACAGCACGGCCTTGGCACTGCTTCTGTTGGGTACAGCTGCCCAGTAACAACTGGGATCACTGGGAGAGACTACCAGGGAGTGAGGGAGCCTTTGGAGGGAACTTTAATGCCTCACTGACAGCAAGGGTCAGATCCCAGGGTGTGATGTGGGAGAGAATCCCAGAGTGGTCTGGGTTGGGAGGGACCTTAAAGCTCATCTCACTCCATCCCTGCCATGGGCAGGGACACCTTCCACTATCCCAGGCTGCTCCAACCTGGCCTTGGACACTTCCAGGGATGGGGCAGCCACAGCTTCTCTGGGAAACTGTGCCAGGGCCTCCCCACCCTCCCAGGGAAGGACTTCTCCCCAATATCCCATCTAATATCCAATATCCTTCTGTCAGTGTGAAGCCATTCCCTGTGTCCTGTCCCTCCAGGGACAGACTATTTACAAGACAGTCTCTCTCCACCTTTCCTGTGGGCTCCCTTCAGGAAGACCACAATTAGGTCACCACAAGACTGAACAATCCCAAGAGGAGGGAATGCTCCCAGCAGAGGGGGTGGGATTGGTGTGGAAGGACAAACACCCCCCCGCCAGACCCAGTGTGACTCTCCCCATCCCCACCAGGCTCAGGCTCCCTGGGCCGAACCCAGAGCCCTGCTGAGGCCTGAGCAGAGCCCTGGAGCAGGAGGGGGATGCAGGGGCTGCCCCACTCACCGTGTGGATGCCCAGCCCGTTCAGCATGTACACCAGGTCCTCCGTGGCCACGTTCCCCGACGCTCCCTGGGCGTAGGGGCAGCCCCCGAGGCCGGCGACGGACGCGTCCACCACGCTCACCCCCATCTGCAGAGGAACCCACAGCACAGCCAGGTATGACTGCTCTGCCAGCACAACCTCCTGCCCCTCAGAGCTTCCATTCACAAGCAAAAAAAATAAACAAACCCAAAGGAAGATGCTTTATTTGTGTGGACACCCCACCCCTGGAAGGGTCCGAGGCCAGGTTGGAGCAACCTGGGCTAGTGGGAGGTGTCCTCGCCCAGGGGGGACAAGATGGGATTTAAGGTCCCTGCCAACCCAAACCACCCCATGAGTCTGTGATCCAAAGGAAGGATCCTACCTGGAGGGCCACCAGGATGTTGGCCAGGGCCTGTCCATAGGTGTCGTGGCAGTGAACAGCCAGAGCCCCCACGGGCACCTCCTTCATCACCATGGTCAGCATCTCCTTCATGCTCCCGGGGGTCCCCACGCCGATGGTGTCCCCCAGGGAGATCTCGTAGCATCCCATGGAGTACATCTTCTTGGAGACCTGTCCAAAAGCCAGGATGTGCCCTGGGAAGTACATCACCCCCTTCCCCAGAGCTGCACACAGGGATCGATGTGGGATGCCCTGGAGCAGCCACGAGACTCTTCTGTGGGACCGAAACCCTCCAGGTGCCCAAACCTCCCTGAATTCCCCTGTGCACTTCAGCTGGACTCAGTCTTCCCTCCCTGTGGTGGCTGGAGCCTTTCCCAGCCTTCCCTTTCCCAGGCTTTGGCTAAATGGTTTGACACCCCCCCAACCCCCAGTGCCCAACTCATATCCCTAAAAATGAGCCAAAAACTTCCTCAGAAATTCTGGTTGTATTTGTGCTAAACTCACCTCTGCAACTTTAGCTGCAGAAATCTTCCCTTCGTAGGGGCATCCAAGGACACAGGAAACGTACCTGTGGTTAAGAAAAGCACACACTTTTTAGCTAGAAAAATGGCAAGGACATTCAGCTGGCCAAATCAGTCAGGACTTAGTGCATCTTGGGTGTCTTTATGATGGAAGAATTAGTTTCATGTTCCAAAAGTTCAGTGGCCAAATCTTACAGAATTAACTGCTCAACAATTACAGAATTAACTGCTCAACAATTACAGAATTAACTGCTCAACAATTCCTTCTTCCACGGACATGAAAAATCTGCCAAGACAAGAGCACGCAGCATTCCTGGGATTGTGATCTATGCACTTCCATGTGGAATGTCTGCCAAGAAACTGTTGTTATTCTGGATCTTTCTGAGGACAGAATAACCACACGGTGAGTGAATCCAACTGGAGGAGTGTGGACCGTCCTGAGCAGAACAGGCTTTGCACCAAGGCAGCAGCTGAAACCTTGAGTGTGGTCCAAACTAAAGCTCCTCCATGCCCTGAGCTCACAAAAATCCAGGCAGAGACGTCCCAAAAAATAGAAGTTGAAAAGAAATCCCACTCCTCAGTGCTGCGTGGGCTGGGCTCCAAAGGGATAAACTCCAGCAGCCACGTCTCCTGCTCAATGCCAAGGTGGCTGCAGGAATTCCTTACCCCTGGATGGGAATGCTGGCTGCAGGAATTCCTTACCCCCTGACAGGAATGTTGGCTGCCCTTGCTGCTGCCATCACCTCACTGAACCTCTCCAGGCTCTCCTCTATGGAACAGTTGATGTTCTTCTTCGTGAACAGCTCGGATGCTGCTCCAAAGATCGACACTTCCTTGGCCCCTGCAGCCACCTGCAAATAAACACCATAAATCACAGAACCATTAGAGCTGGAAAAGACCTCTGAGAGCAGCAAGTCCAACCCTCAGCCCAGCACTGCCAGTTTTTAAATCCAAGCTGGGTGCTTTTTCTTGCATGGGAAATGACAAGCTCAGCCATGACTCAATTCAAGTGATTTCAGGGGTTCAATTCAAGTAATTTCATGGTCAAGTGTTAACTCAAGTGTTTCAATGGCCTCTCTTGGTAGAGAAGTCTCAAACCAGCCCCATAAAACACTTCCCTTTACAGAAACTTTTCTGTTCCTAAATAAAACTGCCCTGATTATTTAGACTTTAAGGCTGGACCTGATGATCTTGGAGGTCTTCTCCAACCTCAATGACTCTATGATGTTCCATGATCTATAACTACAGTTCTCTCACCCTATAGAAGTTATTTCCCCAAATAACCCTGTTCTTCCCTAAGTTTGTTCCACAGCAGAACCACCACGACATATCCAAGTTTGCCTCCAAAAGTGCAAAGTTACAGGTGCTGGGAGCTGTCAGGAGAGCTGTGGGACACCAGAGGGGACTGAAAGCAAGACAAACACGTGGTTTTTGAGTTGCTGCCAGCCCTTACCGCTGCCTGGAATCCCTTCAGGTTGGGGGTCAGCACAGGGTAACTGATCCCAGGCACTTTATTGATGCCCTGCATGACCTCAGTGTGATCAGCCATCTGCAAAGAAACCAGCAGAGCTCTGTAACAGGGACAACATCCAACCTGTAAAACAACCCTTCAAATGTCTTTTTGTAATGGGAACAGAAATATTTAGGGCTGAGAGAAATGGGCCTCTGAGAGCAAACACTGCACACTGTGAGGGATCAGAGGTCAGTCACTCAGCCAGGCTGACGTGCACAACCAGCTGGCCCTCTGCCCTTCCCCAGGGTCCAAAGGGGAAGTCTGGAATATTGCAACTGGTTCTCGCCCAGTAATGAAGGGTTTGGAGCAAGCAGAGTCACTGGATCACTGTTGTAACACTGTAAATCCAGCTGGAACACCGACCTGAGGGACCCACTTGGGGGACACAAAGCTGGTGGCCTCTATGACCTGCAGCCCCGTCTCTGACAGCATGTTGATCAAATTGATCTTCACCGGGGTGGGCACAACGTTCTGAGAGGAAAAAGAAGAAGAAAAGAAAAGAAAAACGAGTTCAAGTCATTATTTCCACAGTAAACTTTTCATTGTAAAAAAAAAAAATTAAAAAAAACCCAAAAGATCGTTTTTCAACATAAAAAGGCGGCACTTAAAGAAAACAAAAGAAGAAGAAGAAGGAAAAGAAGGAGAAGAAGGAGAAGAAGAAGGAAAAGAAGGAAAAGAAGAAGGAAAAGAAGGAAAAGAAGAAGGAGAAGAAGAAGAGAAGGAGAAGGAGAAGGAGAAGGAGAAGGAGAAGGAGAAGGAGAAGGAGAAGGAGAAGGAGAAGGAGAAGGAGAAGGAGAAGGAGAAGGAGAAGGAAAAGGAGAAGGAGAAGAAGAAGGAGAAGGAGAAGGAGAAGGAGAAGGAGAAGGAGAAGGAAAAGAAGAAGAAAAAAAGAAGAAGAAAAAAAAAAAGAAGAAAACAAAGAAGAAGAAAAAAAAGAAGAAGGAAAAAAAGAAGAAGGAAAAGAAGAAGGAAAAGAAGAAGGAAAAGAAGAAGGAAAAGAAGAGGGAAAAGCCCTGCTGGTGGGCAGAGTGGCACATTTGGGGTATCTGATTCCAGAACCCCCCAGGGAGGGGTTGAGGGGCCGGGCAGGGCTGAGGTTGAGCTGCCAGGAGCCCCCCCTGTACCTTCTCATTCTGGAGCCCGTCGCGGGGTCCCACCTCCACCACCTTCACCCGCTTCGGGTACGTCCCCGTCCCTGCTGCTGCTGCCACACTCACCTGGCACAGAGGGCAGAGTCAGCAGGACCCCGGAGCCCCCCGCCCGCTCACCCCCACCCCGTGTCCCCCCTGGTCCCTCTTCCCCCCACAGTGAAAGAGGCTGTATCATGATGGCCCCAGGTATAACCTAAGAATCTTATAAAGAGAAAAAATTAGGAAAGTCAGCAACCTGTGCAGCTGCAGTTTGAATTATTTTGGGGACCATTACACTCCAGAGAGCTAGATCAATAGAAAACTGTTTAAGTGAAAGCACTCTAATCTTCAACCAAAGATGGATAATGAATCCTGTAACAATAAGATCTGAAAATACACTCTAGGAAGCTAAATCAATCAAAGGTTGTTTAAGTAAAAGTTTAAGTTGTCTTTAACTAAAGATTGATGTTGGTGTCTCGTAGCAATAAAATACAAAACTATTTCAAAGGTTGTTTAAGTAAAAGAAATCTAGTTATCTTTAACTAAAGATTAATGTTGATGCCTTGTAAGGATTAAATGACTGACTGTCAAGGAGGGGCTTGAGGTGTTAAAGTGTATAAAAGCTCACAAAATCCCTGTTTCAGTGGGGTGTTTATGCAGGAGCTATCCCGACACTACCCCGACGGCATGGCTCAAAAGCATCATGCTAAATTTGATTGCTTTGAATCGCCGGCCTCGATCTCCCCCATCCCGGTGCCCCTCGGTCCCTTGGACCCCTCAATCCCCCCTCCCGGTCCCTCGGACCCCTCAATCCCCCCCCGGGTGTCCCGGTCCCCCCTCACCGGCCCCGAGCGTTCCCCGGCCCCGATGCTCCCTCGGCCCGCTCCCCCCGGCCCCTCGGTCCCCCCGTTCCCCCTCACGGGCCGCAGCGATCCCGTCCAACGGGGGAGAAGCCGCCGCGCCGCCGCCATGTCCGCCCGCGATCACGTGACCGCGCCCGCCCCCGCACGTGACACGGGCGGTCACGTGGCCGCGCCGCCCACGTGGAGCCCGAATCGGAGCCGGGGCTCGGCCCCTCCGTGTCGTTCATCCCTCATCCCCCCCGTCCCCTCATCCCCTCCGTCCCCTCATCCCCTCCGTCCCCTCATCCCCTCCGTCCCCAGCCCCTACCTGTGCCCAGGCGCCGTCCCTGGGCGCTGCCGCCGTGTCGTACTGTGGCATGTTTCGCTCTGGCCCTGGTACTGCCCGGCCCCGCGCCCGCCGCGCACTTATAGGATGGGTTTATCCGCTGGCCCGGGCGCTGAGTAAACACGGCGCTGTTTGTTTTGGACGGGCCCCCGCGCTGCGACAGACGTTACCGGCGTGATGGGGTTGAGAGGCAAAGGGGCCGTGGCTCCCTTGTCCCTTTTCTGTGTCTAACGGCGTCATCACGGGGCCGGATGATGCTCCTGTGAGTGACTCCTGGCAGGCGCTCAGGATGTTTGTCCATTGAGAAACAGCCCAGGGGCTCCGTTCTGGCAGCTTTTGCTTGTGCTGGCTGGGACAGTATCAAAACAAAGCCTGTTTGCAGCGTTGTGGGTCCTGCACATCCACACGGGCTGCAGAAACACAGGCTCTGGTGAGGAGTTTCATCACTCAGAAAGTTCAGCCCTCTTTGGAGAAGTTCAACATCCACGCTGGAAATCTGCTCTCACTCTAACAGCAGAAGTTCAGCTCAGAACAGTGGCTTCTCTTCAATTCACTAAGAACAAAACCTCTTCTCCTTGTAGCTGTCCCCACAGGATATAAATAAAAGTTTGTGGATGGATTTGTATTAGATTATGGGTTTTGTGTAGATCTCTTCCAACAAGCTTCTGTTGCATTTATTTGTGACGAAAGCAGGTGATCACAACTGTTCCAATCAACACCAAAGGAATACGAGGCAGAAGGGAATAGAGGAGACCTTCTTTTAAGTGAAACATTATTTATTCAACAATAAATGAAAAATCCTCTTGGATTCAGTCAAAAAGACAGGCACTGGGAGATGCTGTGCCCATCCCACAGCTGTCACAACACACCCTCGAGCTTCACGGCCCAGCCAGACTGAGGGGGGAGAGGAGATGGGAGCATGTAGGGCAGGGTGATGAGCAGCCCTTTCCCTGGGGTTTCTTCCTGCCACTTCAGAGTCCCTGCATATCCCAGCATGGTCACCTGCAGAGGAGGGCAGGGGACAATCAGCTGGAGCTCACACAGGCCCCCTTTGCACACCCCAGAGCGTCTCCCACCCATCCCCACCCGCCATTCACAGGGCACAGGAGGTGACACTTGGGATGTTTTGAGGCCAAACGTTTGATGTTTGTTGGTTGTTTGTGGGTTTGTTTGTTACCGAGGCTTCGCCTCTGTTTGTTCAGAGCAAAGGGCACTGGAGCATTTGCGTCAGGGTGACACTTGCCATGAGCAGGTCAGTGCCCCTGAGCACGCTCTGAGGTGCAGGAACAGCCATCCCTGCCCTGGGTGAGGCTGGATATTTATTTACTTTCCCTCCCTGCATCAGCAGGACCGGAAGATTCCAGGGGAGAAGAATCTCCCTATTCCATGGCAGCCATGAGCCTGTCCTGGCAACTCCTGTCCAATATTCCATGTTCAGCGAACCAAGGAATAGCCCGGGATGCTGCAAGGATCTGGAGGGAGGCCAGAGCAGACAACTTTCCTGCTCTCCCCAGTTCCCAAATGAAGCCACATTGGCCCTCCCCAGCCTATAAACACCCAAAATATGCTCTCAGTGTGTGTTATCTGTTTTTCAGGTTCCTTACTTGTGTGGCTGGGCATGGAATGGGCGAGCAGAGCTTCAAAACGCTGTCCCGAGGCCAGAGCAGGAAGATGGCGTAGACAACCGGCCCCTTGGAGGTGTACCTGTGGGACAGGGAGTCCAGCAGGGTCAGGAGCCCCAGGGCAGCACCAGGCACGAGAACAGCAGCTCACCTGTCACCACACAGGGGTCACCTGCTTTCCCCTCATTCCAAACCCTGTCACTTTGGACCCACCATCAGCACTGGCTGATGAAACCCAAACAAAGTCCACGTGTGCAAATGTCATCTGTGAACGTGTCCTGGGCTCAGCCTCATCCCCATCACTGCTCTGCATTTCCACACTGAACACACTCGAGGAAACAAAAACAACTCCAGTTTGTAGAGATTTCTGGCCAGAACCACTACCTAAAGCAGTCCTGACATTTTTTTTAAAGGAAGGGTTGTTTTTTAAGAATTCAAGCAACATGGGTGAAGTCCTAATTTGTATTCTCTTCTTTCAAGCAAGATATTCCTTAGGTAACAGCCTGGGGCAGTAACTGAATGTTCCAACTGTAGGATATTACCTAAACACCATCTGCACCTGATGGCAACAGTTCAGAGTGTGCCAAATTTAAGAACAAATAAGAAATAAATGTCAGCTGTGGAAGTCCCAGGCCAGATGGTGCTGAGCAGCAGAATCCTTACCAGACTGTGTCTGTGCTGTTCTCCATCTGCACTCTCCAAGGCCGGGATTCATAAATTGCCTCCCCATTGATGTCCAGCCACCTCCCAAGGGCCAGGAGTCTTTCTTGGAAGATGGGAACAATCACCCCTTCTTTGGTAGGTCCCACGTTGAGAAGGTAGTTGCCTCCCAAGCTCACAGTCTGCACCAGCTCCTGTGGCAGATAAACCAAGGTTAGAAGCTGCATCATCTGCACCTCTGAGAACACAGAAACCTGAGGAGGGTTTTATCCTCATCAACTGCTCCTTAACTCCAGCCTGAGCGTATGGAACACACGACAACTCTTTTGCCAAGTAGGGGCATGAAGGAAACCTCTAGTTCTCAGTTTTTCCCCCATACCTGTTATGATTTCAGCTTCCTCACCTCAATGATACTTGCTTCATCCATGACCTCAGCGATGCTCATGTTGCTCCGGTAGCCCCAGGACAGCTTGTCAATGGAGGAGCACATCTCCCACTTGTGATCTGGCAGAGTGCCTGGCTTGTATTTGTCAGCACAGTTGTAGAACCCTCCGTGCCGGCACGAGCAGCCGCGACACCACCGGTCGTTAACGACGACGGTGTCCTGAGGGAACACACTCAGCTCAGGGCAGAGAACGTTTTGTCTTGGATTGTTCCACCTGCAATCATCCCCCCTAAGCCAGCAAAGGCGTCCAAGTGAGGAGGTAAACACCTAAAATTAAAATTCCCTGTGTGTTGAAAGAGAGAATCCTCCTGAGAAGGCTGAGTCCCTCTCTGAGAGAGCCCCTCTCTGTTCTCTTAGGCAGTGCTGCAAAGGACAGTGGAGCTCCTCACAGGAGCACTATGGAGCCTTCTTGGTTTTTGTGGAAGAATAAAACACATTAGGCATCTGCCAGGTGGGTTTTTGGTGTTAGCACACACCTCTCTGCTGCCAGACCTCCCACACCCACACAAGGAGGGACAGCAGACACCGGTACCTTGACGGGACTGTTGTTATAGAGCCAGGCAAGGAAAGAGGTGGAATTCCAGTATGAATCTGGAGCTTCCCAGTCTCCATCCGACCAAATCAAATCTGGTTTGTATCTAAGAGAGATAAATGTTATCTCAAAATGGCTCATTTTCTCCTGCCACACTGTGTTTCCTGTATCTGACATAATTTTACTTCCCCTTCCCACTGCCTGCGTCACCAGGAGGTTTTGCTTCGCTTTCTGCTTCACACAAAGCTCTAAGTGAGGTTGTTGCAGCAGCAAAGAACGATGTGTTGATCCACAGCTCAAGAGAGGATGCAGTTCTTCCAAGAAACCAGAATTTGGCATCTCAAAGGCAATTCTGAGGCACACTCTCGAGCTGGGACAACAGCCTTTCTGAGCAATATTGCCCAAGCCTGGTATTTTTGTCAGAAAGGGGAAGCAAGGCAAGGATGTAAATCCACAGTGAAATCACTCTTCTACTCTACAAATACCAGGCAGGTTGTCCCACTTCCAGCCACCCTGCACAAATGCAGGATTAAAGGGAATTGTCCCTACCTTATTCTACAGATTAGAATGTTCACAAGACAAATGTGAACCCATTTTCTAATGGTTAGTAATGAGATTTGCCTTGGCAAAAATTAACATTCTCTTCTCTGGAACTGGGAAGTGCTCACAGTTCTGAACTGGCTGTAGCTCTTACTTTAACACGAGATCATAAAGTTCTGGCATCATCTTCTTTATAACGAAGTTCTGGGTCTTAAAGCCATTTTTTTTGTCAGCAAGATAGAGTGGGTTAAACCACTCCATGAGGGAGTGATACAGCCCATAGCGTAGCTTCCTGAAGGACAGAAACAGAGGGAAGAGTTAGGCTCCAGTGGGGGTTAAGAACCACTGGCATTATTATTTCATTATTTGCAAGCACTAGGTTTTTCACACTAAACTCATCATTTTCTGCTGTTTGTCAGCACAGCCAGGAGGATTCACTGCAATATTATACAAAAAACCCACCCAAACAACTGATTCAGCTGACAGAACAGCAGTTTGGCAGTGCCATACCTCTCCCTGAGGGCTTCTCCCAGCTCTCCTACGAGGTCCCGGTGGGGCCCTACATCCACAGAATTCCAGTTCCATGACCTGGGCGACCCCCAGTTGGTGAAGCCTTCATGGTGCTTTGTGGTCAGGACCACGTACCTGAGGGGAAAAAAGGTTTTGATCAGGATGGCAAGGGGACAGCTGAGATGTTCCCCACTCACTAAAACAGCCAGGGACTGGATAACCACACTGCGAGGAGCCCTCTGCCACTACCCTTCAAATTTAGAAGCAACTACAAGAATAACAGAGGTTTTAAGTGGATTTTAATGCTGGAAAAGAATGAACAATCGAGACTTAGGAAGCAGAAAGACCAGTCATCTCCTCAGCACCCTGGGCATTGACCCATCCCCTCAGGGACCCCTGCAGCCTCTTGGGGACCCCAGGCACAGTGCCCCCATCCTCTCTGGGCCTCTGCAGGGACTCAGGGACCCCCAGACATGGGTCCCCTCTCTGCTCGGTCACCATGGACCTCCAACCCTCAGAGATTCCCGGAAATGGCTCCTCTATACCCCCAGGGATGCCCAGACCCTCCCATCCCATCAGGGACTCATGGTGATAGTACTTATTCCCTCAGGGACCCCCTCATCACCTCAGAGACCCCCAGACCCTCCCCATCCCCTCAGGGACCCCCTGTTCTCTCAGGGACTTAGAGATCCACCACTCATCCCCTCAGGGACCCCCTTTCCCCTCAGGGACCCTCAGACCCTCCCCAGCCCCTCAGGAACCCATGGCCAGGCACCCATTCCCTCAGGGACTCCTCCATCCCCTCAGGGACTCCTCCATCCCCTCAGGGACCCCCAGATCCAGCCCCTATCCCCTCAGGAACCCCTGGCCATGGCACCCATTCCCTCAGGGACCCCCTGTCCCCTCAGGGACCCCCCAGACCCTCCCCATCCCCTCAGGGACCCCACCCCAGCCAGCCCCAGCCGCCGACCTGGCCCCTGCCCGCCAGAAGAGCTCTGCCCACTGCCGGGGCTGGAAGTCGTAGGCCGTGAAATGGGGGGCGAACTCGGCGTAAGAGGTGCCGGGCGGGAACCGGGTCCGCATGAAGCGCTCGTAGGCGGCATTGCGCTCGCCCTGCCAGTGCCACCAGAACCACTCGGAGCCCCAGGCGGGCACCGAGAACACCCCCCAGTGCACGAACACGCCGACCTTGGCGCGGTCGAACCAGGCCGGCAGCGGGCGCGCGTCCAGGCTGCGCCAGTCCGGGCGGTACGGCGGGGCCGCCAGGCACGGCCCGAGCGCGGCCGCCACGCACAGCACCGCGCCCGCCGCCATGGCGGGGCCAGCCGCGCCGCCGGACCCGTGACGTCACGGCCGACGCCGCGGGGACCGGGGCAACGGCGGGACCGCGGGGCCGCGGGTTCGAGGCTGCGATCCGCGACATTCCCGCGGGGATCGCCGATCCAACCCTTAGCCCCGCGCAGGAACATCCCCGAGGGTCACGCCAAATGCTCCTTGGGCTCTGGCAGCTTTGGCGCTGCAACCACGTTCCCCTTGGTTAGCTCCGTGCCCCCTGCTCCTGTGTTGCCAGGCTGCCTGTAAGTTCCCACGTTCCCCCGGTTTTGCCAGTGTCACGGAGCACTTCTCTCGTTTATTCTAACTAGCTTATTCTAGTTTATTCTAACTGTGTTAAATGTGAGTGAACAGCCTTGTCAACTGGAGGTGTTTATGCACCAGGGAAGAGACAGAAATAAAACATGAGAAGTGGCTGTAATGTTTAATCACGTAACATCCACCAAACACTGCGCGGTCAGGTCAGCTCTCCTGGAATTTGCTGGAAGAAACGCGGTACCTGCAGGGTCCTGTCTTCCCCAGCTATGGCTGAGTCCATAAACCACCGTGAGAACATTCCAGTTTTTCATGATTGGATGCTAAAATCAACGTGGTCCCAAATGCTGTGAGACACAGTCAGCCAAGACTGTCTGCAAGTCCAGAGGAACCATCTGCACCTTTCCTAGGAAGAGCCAAGGAAACCTCCTGCAGCTGCCATCCTGCTCCTGTGGGATCCAGCCAGACATTCCCTGACAGTGGGAGCTCATCATGACTTTGTGTTGTTCTCTGTCACCTTTGCCCAGACATGAGGACTTTTTTTGTCACTGTGCTGCACATACACAACCCCCAGAGTCTGGTATAAATAGATGCACCTCTGCCTCATGCGCTCTCAGCACTCTGCTGATGGTGCTGGCACAGCTCTGCCTGTGCCCAGTGAAGGGGTTTACAGAGATTATGTGATCCCTGGGGATTTCTGGAGAACTTGAAGGTCTGTGGAGGGTTTTACTGAATGTTACTTCTGTGTTGAGGAGCGTAAGGAAGATCCCACTGAATGTGATAAAAACACATTGGGGGTTACTGGTGGACAGGCAGGGGGAATTGTCATAAAATATTAGGATCTGCTGTTCTGGGACATGGTTTTATCCACTGTCTCGTGGCTGGCACTGGTAACTCTGCAGCCTGGGGACTGGCTGCCTGTGTAAGTCATAGAATCACAGAATCATTTAGATTGGAAAAGACTTCCAAGCTCACTGAGTCCAGTCTTTGACCAATCCCCACCTTGTCACCCAGCCCAGAGCACTGAGTGCCACGTCCAGTGTTCCTTGGACACGTCCAGGGATGGGGACTCCACCACCTCCCTGGGCAGCCCCTTCCAGTGTTTAACCCTTCCAGTGAAGAAATTCCTCCTGATATCCAACCTGAACCTCCCCTGGCAGGAGGTGGTAGAATCACAGAATCATGGAATATTCTGGGTTGGAAGGGACCAACAAGGATCATCAAGTCCAGCTCCTGCACAGGACACCCCAACAATCCCACCATGTGCCTGAGGGCAAAGTCCGTGCGCTTCATGTCCCAGCATTGAAGGACGATACCAGCAGGAGTTGTCTCCACAGCAGGCAGCTGATCCTCATCTCCCAGGTCCTCCATCAGAAGAGAAAAGAAACAGGGAAGTGATCCAGACTGTTTCTGCCAGCCTGAGTTCACGGGTCCTCCACGGATGCCCCCCTACGTCACATGCGCGTCCTCGCAGACGGTCTCTACCACGGAGGACCTGTGGGTGCTCTCGGCCTCCGGGCTTTCCTCAGGGGCCTTCAGCTGCCTCCTGAAGTGAGAAAACACCCTCCTCAGGGAGGAATTCAGCTCCTTGCTCCGCAGGGCGTAAATGATGGGGTTCACCATGGAGTTGAGCAGGCAGAGGGTGCTGCAGAAGGCGAACACCTTGCGCAGGCGGTCGCTCAGCCTGGAGAAGACGCTGTAGATCATGAGCACGAGGACGGGGGACCAGCAGAGCACGAGGACAGCCAGCACCATGACCAGGGTCTTGGCCAGCCTCACATCCATCCTCATGCGGGTGTTCTGCTTCCCGGCCTGCGCCTGGTGCTGCTCCATGTAGGCCACGTGCTGGCGGGCCCTCCACAGCACGTGGGCGTAGGCGTAGACGATGCAGCCCAGCAGGAGCAGGGTGAGGCACACCCAGCCCGACAGGTAGTTGTCGTCCACGAAGGGGAACAGCTCGGAGCAGGAGGAGTCCAGGGTGCAGCAGTTCCAGCCCAGGAGGGGCAGGGAAGCCACGGTGGCGCAGGTGGCCCAGACCACTCCCAGGGCTATCCAGGCTCTTCTCCTGGTCATCAGGAGCTTGTACTCGGAGGGCCGGCTGATGGAGACGTAGCGGTCCAGGGCTGTGAGCAGCAGGCTGCTGAGGGAGGCGGAGAAGGAGGTGTTCACCCCTCCCAGCTGCAGCAGGAACGCCTCCTTGGAGAAACCGGTGCCGTTGAACACGTGGAAGTTCACAAAGCTGCAGACGAAGATGATGCTGGCCAGGATGTCAGCCAGGGCCAGGCTGCTGATGAAGATGTAGGAAGGCTTTTTCCTGGTCCTGGGGGAAGAGAAGATCAAGTAGAGCACCAAGGAGTTCTCGAAAACGCAGAGTGTCCCAAAGAGGCAGCACAGGGTGGCAATGCTGATCTTCTGTGCCTGTGTGCTGAGCACCATGAAGCACTCCATGGTGCTCCCGCTGCACTTGGAGGCGTTTTCAGGTATCTTACAGATATCCATGGTTGTTAACTGGAGTTAGGAGCTCACAGAGAGCCTTCCTGCTTCCTTCTGCTCTTCCTCAGATGCTCTGAAAAAGGTGGAGGGGAAGAGGACTTACACAACAGGCAATAAATTCAACCCAGACACATCCCCCCTTTAGAGAGAAGCAAGCAAAAGGAAAATAGCCCATGGGGACCTATTTTCAGGTCCACAGCCCAAATACTGGTGCCAGCTTCCACCCTTTCCCAGCAGAGATCCAGGCTTTGTCTGGTGATGTAGCTGAGCCCCATCTGTCACAGCCCACGGGTACCACATCTGCACCACATCCATTCCCGGGCTGCTTCCTCACCACAAGAGGGAAGCAGCAACACTGGGAATTGCACAGATCCTGGGCCAGTTCCTACCAGTCCTCTAGGATTCACTGCTCAGGGCACTCTGTGGCAGCAGAGTTGGATTTTTCTCTCCACTTCTGCAGCTCGATGCATTTAACCCCTTTCATCTTGGTCACACTGAGGGGCTTGTCCTTCAGGGGTTGTTTTTTCCCATTCCTGCTGTGGGTTACTCTGGTGTTTAAACCATGTGCACTTCCACTGAGGGCTCAGTTGTGCTGCCCCAGGTTACAGGGAACAAAGGCTACAGAGAGCAGGTGAAGAGGCAACTCTGGAATACACTAAACCTGCCTGATTTGCAGCAAGATGCTGTGTTCCAAGTGCCAAGCATCTGCTGGAAAATCCCACAGGACAGGACCCCATTCCAGAAAGCATCTGCCTGGCTTTGAGTATCCAGGATGCTTTACCCAGGCAATGGGACCATGAGTTCCCACTGCTGGAGGAGAGCACTGACCTGACAGCATTACCTTTTCCCCAGAACAAACAAATCACTGTCTGTCCTTCCCCTCAGCTCTTTTTTGAAAGGGGGAATGTGCCAAACACGTGAGGCACAGCTGGAACTGTGACAGCCACAGCTCCCTGGGGAGCAGGGCAGGGGCAGCCACCTGTAATCCACCACCTGTGGTTTCTCTGCCTGTTTTGGGAAATGCAGCAAAGGCAGCAGCTGTTTGTAGAGGTGACAACAGCCAGCACTGACCAACAAACCTCCATCCACAACATCTGACATGTATTTTATACCTGACCCCGTGACTTCCTTCCCCACCGATTTCCCTGACACTCATCCCTGGTTCTGTCGTTTGCAGCAGTTGCAAAATACCCTCGAGCTTCTCAATACTTGAGATGCTGCCCAGGAGGTCTTGGAGAAGAGCCTGAGCCCCACACTTCACTCCTGCTGCCTGTGGGGCTGGAATATTGGTGGCTCCAGGACATTTGGTGCGTGTTACAGGCAGAGCAGGTCTATCCTGAACTGGATTTCTTGGCATGTCAGGCTGCAGGAGTCCTGGACTTTGGCTGACATGTGGCTCAGGGTTGCTGCAAGTCTCTTCTCCTCTTACATCAGGCCCTGGCATGGGGTAACAGGACTGGGGATGTTGTACTCAGATCTCAGAGCTCTCGTTTCCTGCAGCTCTTCACAGGAACAGGACACGGGCAGCGGGAATTACCAACTGCTGTTATTAAACCTGACAACATCCCTCCCTCCAGAGAGAGGTGGATTTAACAGGCAGATGGACTTTTCATATCACAGGGCTCACCAGGGACCACCAGGGTAACAACTGCCTCGAGTATCCAAACCTCCCCAGCCAAACTCCAGCATCCAAACCAAGACATCCCTTAATTAAGCAAACTCCAGCATCACCTCGGCATCCCTTACCTGCAGCCAGCATTCCCAGGGCCATCATAAACACTCTAATCTGAAGTTGTGCAATATCCAGCTAACTTCTTTAGGAGCTTGGAAACTGCTGAATGCTGGGCAAGGGACTGAAGGCAGCAAAATGCCATCCCTGACATCACATTGCTTGGGGAGAGAATTTGGTTATAATGGTAAATAACTCCTGCACTGCCTGTCCCCCTTTTTTGTTGGCTTTTTTTTGGCCATAAAGTTGCTTTTTCCTGCCCAGGGGACATTTCCCTCTCACCAGATGAGCTCCTGGATTTGTTTGTTCATGCCCCCTGCCTCCTGCACAGCTCAGCTCCTGGAAAACACACCAGCCCATGTCTGGGGGAGAGCTGATCTGCAGCATCCTCCACAGGGCAAATCCCACGTCCAGGGTGGAAAACACCTTTCCAGGGGCAGCATCTCCACCTCCCTGGGAATTCCAGCCCCGCAATCAGCCCAAGGAGCCCAGGGAGTCCCAGCTGACAGCTCAGCTCAGCAACAAAGAGCAAAGTGGTTTCTCCCCCTCCTTTCACTCCAGGAGCTGTGGCACAGAGGGGCTGGTTCCCTGGAAGGAGCCAAGTGTGGATTCCCTGCACTTCTGCACAGGAATAATTCTGTCTGGCACAGTGTCTTCTGCCAACAGGATCTCCCAGGGGGGAATATTTTGCCAAAACAAAGCACCCTTGCAATGGAGAACCCCCCCAGACAGTGCCAGCACCAACAGCAGAGCCCCAGGAAACAACACCTCAAATGAATGAGGAGCCCAGTTATTAGGAACAGAATCCAGGAATGACATTTGGGAATGCAACATATTCCTGATACAGCCCCAGTGACTGGAAACTCTTCCCAGAGCAGCAGAGAAACCTCCCCCTCCATTAGATCTGCTGTGAGCCCACTCACTCCAGCCTAATAACTCCACTGGCTTCGGGGGAAATTAAATTTACAAATGAAAAAGTCCTTTTCCTTCTCAGTGCATTGCTGGGATGGATTCCAGCTGTCAGACTTGCAGTGCTTCTCACGCAGCAGCACGATTCCTGCTTCCACTCCTGCATTTACAGAGCCATCACAGCATCCTGGTGATTAATAAGTTACATACCAGTTGCTCAGATAATGTAAAATTAAGTTTTCCTGCTGCAATCAGCCAGTGCATTGTGCCTGCAGCACTCTGAGAGTCTTGAATATTTCATGTTCAGAATTTCTGAGAGATGTATCGTTATGATAAAATAAAATGTCTTAAATGATCCCCTAATATGACTTATGCAAAAATTGTCATTAATGCTTGGTTATTTCACTTGCTGAAAAAGCAAAATACCTTCTGCTTTACAAATATTTTGGTTTATCTGTGAGTTCTTGTTCTAGTTGCAGAAGTTTTTCTGTTATTTTGGAAATAGCTGTTCATCCCAGCCTGTCCCTCCGACCACATTAAATACTGGGGAGTGGAATTCCCTCCCTGCTGTAGGACCTGTCTGGCACAAATGTCACAGTGAAGATGATTTGCGTTATTTCTTTTCAGAGTCCAGCTCTGCCCACGTGTGACTGCCCAGGATGGGGTGGGTGCAGAGCAGCTGTGAGGGCCAGTTTGGGTACAAAACGGAGCAGAACAGAGCTGCCCTCACTCCACCAAAACCACCACACACAGTCAGAGTAAACACTGAGCTCAGCACCACACACCTCCCCGTGAGACTTCTGGAAATACCTGTGACACACAGAATCATGGAATGGTTGGGTTGGAAGGGACCTTAAAGCTCATCCAGTCCCACTCCCTGCCATGGGCAGGGACACCTTCCACTAGCCCAGGTTGCTCCATCCTGGCCTTGGACACTTCCAGGGATGGGGCAGCCACAGCTTCTCTGGGCAACCTGTGCCAGGGCCTCCCCACCCTCCCAGGGAAGGATTTCTTCCCAATATCCTGTCTAATCCTGTCAGCGTGAAGCCATTCCCAATTGTCCCATCCCCACAGTTCCTGATGAACTGATCCAACGTTAATATTTCCAAAAATCAGCTGTAAAGACTTACCCCACAGCCTGCTATTAAGCACTTACCTTTCATCCTCTCCTTAGGAAAGAATTCATCCTAAAAACCAATTTCCCCCCCTTTGCCGCACACCGCAGTTCATCCCGAGCAGCACCAGGAATCCAGAGGAGCCTCCCCAGCCTGCCCCGTGCGTGGGCTCTCGGGGGTGGTGTGAGAAAAAGGACCCTGCCGGATGCTGTGGGGCAGCACAGGCAAACCACTCACCTCCCTGAGGCTGCTCGGGGGCTTCCCATCCCTCTGGCTCCCAGGGCAGCCCGTGCAGCTGCGAGCGGCGGCCGCTTCCCTCTCCTCTCACGCACTTCTGCTTTCAGCCGGGTTTCTTGTACCACTCTGGTTTATTCCCCCAGGCTGGAAAACCATCAGTGCGAGTCCTCCCTCTGCTTTCTTGCTCTTTCTGTGAATGTGTGTCGGGTTTTCTTTCCTTCCCCACTTCCCCTCTTGGGTGTTGTGTTCTTTCTGCCTGCCACTGCCACATCTCACAACCGCTCGAGCTCTCCTCACTTGCTGAAATAATTCTCTCAGTCCATCTGATTCTTCCATGTACCTGCAGCGTTTGAGGCAACAGACAGTCAAGGGTCTCTTCTGATTTCTCTGGGGAAGTGGAAGAGGAAGGAGAGGAAAAGACCTAGGAGGCAGACATGGAAAAGTCTGCATATCCCTGGCTGTTTCAGGGCGGGTTTAAGGGCAAGCTCAGAAATCTACCGTCTTTCAGCCCCATTAACAGCACAAACCTCACCTCTCTGTGCCCCCCAAAGTGGGGAAGGCCCTGCTTTGTGCACACACTTAGCTAATGCCAGAGAAATGAGGTGATTTTCTCTCTTGCAAGAGGAAGGGAAACGGCTTAAGGTCTTCAGTGACACAATCCTGTGTGAGGACGGACCCAGGGCTGCAGAGCCTGCGGTCGCTGCTCCGCCTGCTCTCAGCCATCCTTCTCCCTGTAACCACTTCCCCCCCTTGCCTGGGCAGCAGCTGCCTGGAGCTGGGTGTGGGCAGGTTGTGCTGGTGCTGCTGGAAAGCAGGGACAGCTGCTGGGTGACAGCAGGGACAATGTCGCTGTGTCGGTGGGTGGAGGCAAGTTTGTCCCAAATCCCAGAGGAATTGGCCACATACGGTTGTGCACAGACCATCCAAGCTGCAGTGGGGAGCACACACAGTGCTGGGTGCAAAGCAAAGACATGATGCTTGGCCCCTGGATGCACCTTACCCTGCTCTGCCACCCTACAGGGCCATCCCACAGCCCCATCCCAGCACCAGCAACCTTCCTTCTCCAAGGGGGAGCTCAGCCTTCCCTCCTGCTTGGATCCCAGTTCCCCCACTCTGTGATGATGGTTTTGAACAGCAGTTACATCTCGTGCTCTCCGAGTCCTGCTTTGCCTCTTTCCCCTCTGCCGCTATTTGTGGCCCAGGGGGGTTCCCGGCAGCCGGAGCTCGGGCGGTCAGCGATGCTCGGCTGCCCTCTCCAGGGAAACCCGCAGCACTCGCGGGGCATCGGCTTGTGAAGGCTTGAGAAAAGAGGCAGAATTGGGAACCCAGCGCTTCCCCTTGGCCCCTGGCCGGGAAAAGGGGATTCCCAGCTCACCAGGGCACTTGGACACTGCAGGGACCTGCCTGACCCTTTAGATGCTGCTCAGGGCTTGGCGGTTTTGGAAGCCCCTCTCTGGATCCCATGTGTGGAAACCACAATAACAGTGAAAGGCATCTCGTGCTGTTGTGTAAGCGGAGGAGAAGAGGTGGGTTATCAGCTCTGTCTCAAAAAACAAGGGCTTCCATTTCAGTTCCCATGAACTGACAAATTTTCCTTTGCAGGAACAGCTGTAAAGAACAGGTGAGAAACAGGAAGATGCTTTCTACTATTCCTGAGTACAAAAAGCAGCTCTCAGCCCCAAACCATTCCCTGCTCTGACACAGCTTCACATCCAGCAGGATTCTGTGAAATATAGACCCAAGTTTCCTCTGTCTGCAGGCAGAACTGTTGTGTCACAGGAGTCTGTGTTACAGGAAAGAAACATTATTATGGCAGCATAATGAAAAGTTTGTATTTTGACTCTCATTTATGGCAAAAATCATCCTGCCAGGGTAAAGGAAAA